CGCCGTGGGCTGACGAAGATGATCCGAATCCATCCGAAGTTCATCCGAAGATGCTGCTGGTGGACCGATCTGCCGCCGGTCCTGCCGCGTTGGCGAAGGGGCGGGCGCCGACGACGCCACCACGTGGCCAAATCTCAAGGTAGCGGTGGACATTGTCTGAAGATGTGATCGAAGCGCTACGCAGTTCTGATGGCGGCGAGGCTTCCTGGTGCCGTCCAGTTTGATCACATTGCTGAGTGGGAGACAGCTGCCAAACCAGCCACCGGGGCTATCGGTGGGACTACCGGTGGGACTACCGGTGGGACTACCGGTGGGACTATCGGTGGGATTACCGTCCGGACGCGGTGGACGGCAATGCGCTCATCAGTGAGCTCCGGGCCATTTGGAGCTGACCGGAACATGCGGCTGGAGTCCAGGGCTCTCTAAGCGTGTCCATGGTGCAGCAGGACTTAACAGGACTTAACAACAACCTGCGGACGACTGTGCGACCGGAACGATTCTTGCTACTTGGAAGCCTAAGCGGGTGAGCCAGTGTCAAACCCTACATGAGACGAGTCGAGACGAGCCCTCCATTGGCCGGATCACATGAGCTGTGATTGAGAAACTCGCGCTGATGAGCGTAGCGCAGAGGCTGCCGAGTTTCAGGAGAATTCAGTGGCGTCGGAACCTCTATGGAGATGGGATGGGATTGCTGCCTAGTTTCTCTCCATGCATGATAGGCTTATTTTAAGATCTTTCTCGGAGCTCGGCAGCCAGCTGCATCGCAAGGCGCTTGCCCAGAAACTTGGCATGTACTATCTGCGTGCATAGAAAGCACGTTGGAAATAATTTGCCACAAATGGCACAGCTACATAAAGGGAAAATGGCAGCCTCGCTTTTTGCCGTATGGCATGCTCACAAGGTCAGTTTAGTTACCAATCCTTCTTATTTACTTTAACATCTACAGCGCTATTACCAGATTACGCGCTTCCTGTAAAAAAGGCAGCGTCAGGGAATGCTATTTTGCCCTGCTTGAATATAACCGTCTTTGTAAAAAAATATTCCAAGCTGCGATTGTAATGACAGTCTAATATCCCAATACTACGGTGATGGGATCTAAGGACCGCAGCACCAACAGGCGCAAGTGTATCTTTTAGTCTGTTGTGACATGCAGCATTAAACAAAGCAAATTTACTGAATATTTTGCACAGATGGCCCGTGGAATAGGGCATTCTTAACCAAAGTACGTTGCAAAGACCCTGACCCTAACTCGAATATTTCCGTACAAAAGGAAAATTGCATCCGTGGTACCCATCCTGAAATCAGGTGACACAGCTGTACTAGTTAGCAATAGGCTCATATCTTTCTTAAGTGTGCTATCTAAAATACTGGAAAACGTCGCTTGTGGACAGCTTAACACGCATCCCCAAAGCAATGGTATCCTCAGGCCTGCTCAATAAGCTTATAGGCAGAGTCACTGCACTGAGGACGCTATGCTCGACGCTGTCGGAGAGCTGGTGAGGGACGTCGACGACGGAGATATGTTTTCATTAGCTGCTATCGATCCATCCAAGGCTTTCGACAGCATTAAACGTGGCTTGCTCATAGCCAAATTTCAGTGGTACGGCGTGGACCCTGATTGTTTAAAATTTATTTGAGTGGTCGGAGACAGGTGGTGCGTGGAGGACTAACGACCCTGCCGGTAAGCCACGGAGTGCCCAAGGGACCCATACTAGGTCCACCATTTTTCAGCTTATTTACGAACGACTTGCCCAGTCGCCTGTCACATGGACGTCCCGCCTCATGCGCAGACGGCACTCAATTCCTGTACCACGCTCTTCCCAGCAAGAAGAGTCCGGAAGCTCTAAAACATCGTCTGGAAATATCATTTTGCGAACTTTAGATTTGGTTCAGCGTTAAATCACTGAAAACGAACAAGGACAAAACCGACTTTGCTCTTATAGGTTCAAAACATAATTTAAAGAAAACCCGTGATTTTCACTTTGCGATAGATGAAGACACTATTTCACCCTCACGACACAAGAAATGATCGTAGACTCAACGCTTTCGTGGAGAAGCACGTCGCCAAAGTCTTGCTAAAATGTTACGGAATTCAAATCTCGCTGTACCGCCCCAAGCATTACTTTATATTGATGTTCTCAAAACTGTTGTCAACGCCTGAGTTAGTGGCACGCATAACTTACGGTGTATATGTATGGTGTGACGGGAAAGAGTGTCAGGTACAAAGGATTCAAAAAGCTATAAGTTTTGCAGTCAGGGATTGTCTCTGGCAAAAATATAACACCGCAGCCAACATATAACACCGACTCTGGAATATCTATGCTAGCCTCGGGTTGATGACTTGTTGAGGGAGAAAAAGCGAGAGCGAGAGAGAGAGAGAGAGAGAGAGAGAGAGAGAGAGAGAGAGAGAGAGAGAGAGAGAGAGAGAGAGAGAGAGAGAGAGAGAGAGAGAGAGAGAGAGAGAGAGAGAGAGAGAGAGAGAGAGAGAGAGAGAGAGAGAGAGAGAGAGAGAGAGAGAGAGACAGACAGACAGACAGACAGACAGACAGACAGACAGACACACAGACAGACAGACAGACAGACAGACAGACAGACAGACAGACAGACAGACAGAGACAGACAGAGACAGAGACAGAGACAGAGACAGAGACAGAGAGAGGGAGAGATGTGCTTTAAGTATTCAAAACCCTAAGACGCAGAGAATCGACCACAGTTGTTCATTCTCTTTTAAGCCAGATTCGTCTCATTGACTGAGGGAGACTGCGCTCGTCCATGTCCTTGGCTCTCCACTGTCCAGGTGCCGATTGGAAGCTACCAAGCGAGCCTTTCCTTACCGTGCCGCGACAAACTGAAATCGCTTGCCCCCGACCACTGCTCTGTCTTCGTCTCTGACTTGAGGGAAGAATAACTCACATTTCAAAACACAGAAGCTCAGGGTGATGCGTCTTAGTTGGAAACCTAAGTTGGTTACCTGAGTGATCGCATCGTATTTTATCGTCTCGTATTTATCGTACCGCATCTTATCGCATCATATTTCAAAACCTAGTCGTAACATCGTATTTCATCGTATATTTTGTAGCATCACCTGTTATGCGCATCTTTTTTGTCATGTGTTGTAATGGGTAAGTAAGTGGTGTAACGACGCGAAACTGGAGAACGTTGCAATAAACCGAAAATGGAAATGCCCTTTCAGGATGGTTGTCAAGCAAAGAAAACACAAGTACCAATGCAAACACCCCGCCGCTACAGTTGGCCCATCACATGTTAACTTCTGTCGGGACTCGAGAAGTTGGTACACAATGTAATGGCTCAGCCATTAACCCTACCTGGTTTCTTTCGTCAGTTGTCAACTGGTCGGTAAAGACGGGTCACAGGGGCGCATTTTGTCGGGGATCAAACCTGGAAATTGAACGGCTTGATATCGACCTTTACAAAAAATAAGGTGTAGTATCCTCAGTTTCAAACCGCCAAATCCAAAAGTGAGCTTACGCCAACGCTGTATTGCACATTTTAACGCCAACATAGAGAGCATTAACATAATAAACGTATAAGTCATGACATATGGGTCATTAATCTCCCACTTTAAACCCACCAAAGCGTACAACTCCTGCGACGCTCGTGGTTGCCAGCGAATGTACTCGCACCGCTTTCATTCACTCATGAGTAGCATGCCTTGTGTTTTGTTCGACAAGACTGCATGAACCTGTGACGACTTCTGTATGCAATATCATATGCGCCAGCCTACGCAACACATCTCCCATTGACCGTTTTCAGGAAAGACTAACAGGTAAACAAACATAAAACATGCATCAGCTTGAGGCCACTGTCCTTACGAACGTTCACCAACACGCTGCACATTAAGCATGCCTCGTGAATTCAGAAAGCACTGAATGCATGCGAAGACACTTGAAGACTGTATTTAATTCGTATGTGAGCTGATGTACGTGGAAGCAACATGTGTGTCAAGAAGTGATGTGACTGCTCCCATTTTATCCCTCCCTCTAAGCTCAGATAATTTGATAATTGCACCGAACCAGCCCTGCGATCCTGCTCTCCTACAGCACTGTGAACCTTCGTGAGTTTCCAAAAGGTACACCGTGTTGGTACACACTGAAAGGCACGCTTTTCCCGCCCATACGGCTGACCCGCTGTAAAGCTAGTGACCCTCAAACGCGCCTTAACGAGGTGACTAAACAGACCTCGTCCACAAAGTAATAGCAAGCCAATTAGCAGGCGACTTCCTTGTTAGCGGTGCGCCCTTTATTGCAGCTCGTGTGGAGCGGAACACGTCAGCGGCGATCCGTCAGGTAGCCGCCAGCTGATCAGCCGCGGGCGGCGCGTCGTCACTCTGACAGCTGTTCCCGGTAGTTGTCCTCTGCTTGCTGGCAAATCGCGCTAATGAGGACATGCAACAGTCGACACATTGGAACGTACACGGGGACGCAAGCCACCTTCCACTCAAGAGGCTGATTTATAAAGGTTACAAACGCTGCCCCATGCATGGCGCTTGTAAAGTTTCATATATATATTTATACCTATCTATACATGAAAAGTTTAACTTGACCGGGTGCGACCTGGCTTTCCCCTACACAAACAAGCACTTCGACACGATCGTCAGCTGTTTTCGCCACCTAATAATATTGGTCCTGCGTCGCGAATACCCCGAGTTGCCAATACCCGGACCTAGTTTTAACCGCGTTCCGGAGCCATTGTGAATTGTTTGTTTCCCACACTAAATGGGCCTGAATGGACACGTTTGCACGTGGCGCCAGCGGTACGGCGATGCCACATTTCCCTGAGTCGGTCGAAATTTAAGTTTCCATATTTGGTGTGAGGAGTCGGCTGCTCAGTATCCAATCGTATTTTGCGCCATTCGCGTGAAGGCTTGGCGGAAAATCATGAACGGACCACTCATAATCGATCACCACATCCATTTACTGATTAGTGTGATTGAGGAGTTGTTGTCATTCAGTTGCAAGCGACGATGATAATATACTTACAGACTTGGTCCACTCTCGTCAAAAAGGAGTCTAATTCTTCGTTTACCGCCATCTAAGCTGGCGTAGATTCGCTATCCGTTTTGCCTTCGTTGTTTATCCAATGGCTGTTTGATGACTGGGCAGTATACTGAAAAAGAGAAAAGAAAATTACCAACGGCGTGCTGTCCAAGAGCTCCATGCGATGAAATAACAGTGTCCGTGTATCTTTAGGCACCAGTTATTCGGTCGGATGTGATGAAAATACTTGATTGACAGGTTGATATTCCGATTCAAGCGTTTTTAGACGGCCTTGGGGGAGGTTTTTAGAGGCTTTTTCCGGGATGTAGTTCATCGGTACAACATCGGTAAAATTACAGATGCATTTTGTCACAAGGTAAGTTAGAACAACTTTAGGTGGTCAATCGACGTGCATGTGCATGTGTGTGTGAATCTTTATAAATGTGTCATGATAAAACGCACAGTCCCTAGCCCCTTGTATCAATATATGTGCGTGATATTTGGAAATATAACATGAAGGTGTGGTATGCCCTTGCAGTAATCCGCCTGTTTTGTTCGCTGCTGTTGACATCGCAGATATTTGTATTGCTACGTTGGTAAGGTGACCAGGGAAGTTTTTTGAGACCCCTTGACAGGAGCTTAGCTGGTTAGATCTTGAGACCCCAGATGTATCACAGAGGCGGCTGAAGCTGCCACTCGCACAGATCCAGATCGCAGGGAAACGCTTAATAATAGGATTAAGTGACTAGTATGTATCGGCCAGCAACTGCACAGAAGTTTCAAGTCTGCCCCGCCCCGACAGCAGATGATTTTGCACCGGTGGCACATGCAGGCTCCTGTGACGCATTCAGTTATTTGGCACGATGCCTCTACTCTTCGTTAGCAGTGGGTTAGATTGTTCTTGCCCATTCCCATGAATTGAGTTGGTTACTTACATTTCAAATCCTACTCGGCGATGTGTGGTCGAGGCACGGGAGTACACGTGCAGCGCAGCAGGGCACAGTACAGCTCGAATTTGTGCGACAGTTTTTCAATCGGATTCTCCTATAGGAATATTCCGCTTTCGGAATGCACATAGCATTTACGTAATGCACTGCACTTATGTACCTTCCTCACAACCAGCCCCACAAGAGTTTGATGATCATTACACTTGGCTATTGCATGACAGACACTCAATGACTGTGACAGCGTGCGCGACATAAATACATGTCTGGGACCAATACAATTTTTAGGACCTCGCCTGTTACAAGTGATCCGGTAATCCTGCGTTGATCGCGGGGACCTGTCATAACGCAATGCGTGGGTCCAGCTGAAAGGAAGCGCCTTGACTGTCGAGTCCTGTGCCAATACACTCTGATACGGTTCACGTGCAAAGCCTTAAATTCGCAAGTTACTGAACAACCGCCGCTATTTGAGAGCAGCGGTGGGTGGCGGTGTTGATGACGGCTCCCGTCCGTTGTTCTTCACCTCGTCACACAAACGTCATGCCCGGGTTTGTGAGTACTTACATAACTACCCAGACACCAGGGCAAAAACAGTCATGCAGGATCGCCCGGGCAGGAAAATGTCAACCGCTTTTAGGGAGGCGCATCGTTCGCCCTGCTGCTAGCGCATTTGAAAACATTACGTTAACATGACATGGCATGGCGTGGCATGACGCGTTGGGCATGAGCAGCCCTTTCGTCCATTTCATGACAAAACAGGATCAGGTAACAGAAAGGAGAAAGCACGAAGGTGCTGACCAGCGTAGCTGGCGCTGGGGCGGAACTGGTCAAGCGCTCAAGGACCGCTATCTTTATCGGACCACCACCAGACTAAAAGTAGGATGCCGCGCTGTCCGCTGCGGCGCTGTTCACACCCGCTGCGGTGTGAACAGCACCGCAACGGGTCGTCACGTTTATTGGTGTTAACGCCTGCCGGTAATGCCCCTGTTGCGTACAACGTCGCACCGGTGTAGTATGTTAAGAGGCGCCAAGATAGGAAAGCTACTCCGGATGAAAATGCTCCGACGGAAAAAAAATACTGCATTTTGCCTTTTCGAAGAATGTCTGCGCACGCTGCCACACCCATGCCACCCAGAACGTGCCTCTGTAATACATAACGTCGAGTCACATCCATTTCAAGCAGTTCAAGACCTAGTATGTTCTATAATATTTGTTATGAAGCGACTTACTTACCTTGGAGGTAGATGAACGCTGAACACGGGTGGCACCAGGAAACCGGACAAAATTCAGTTCATATATATTAACAGTTACAGTGATCCACGCGTACCTTCAACCACATCACTGTCCGACACATGGCATTTCAAGCATTTTGCTGCTATGCGACAGGCGCGTCTTGTTGCTAGGGTAACTTGGTTCCTCGTCGGTGAATCGACGAATCTGCAGCGTCGCTGGTTGTCATGGTAACGATAGTCGGCGCTGACGGCCGGTTGTTGGCGGTGCTGAGTCGACATGGCGAACTTCGGCGTGGAAAGCTCTGAGAGACAAGTGCCACGTATGCACTAAACCCAGTGCATCTGCCGTTGTGTCAAGAGATGCGCCCGGAGGCCTGGCTGTCCCTGATCAGCGACTCCCCAAGAAATAAATGCTGCAAGACTTGGGAAACAACTCGAAAATGTGTCAACGGTGTGACATGCACTGAGTGTCACCAGAGTAGGATCTGACTTCATGCTGTGTTAAACACAAGTTCCTGCTCACGAGCGTGACCTTTTACTTTAGTCCTGCCTACGCTTAGTCCTGCTTACGTAAGTACTGATTCACGTTAGTCCTGCTCGCGCATTATACGACTGGGGGACCAGGGATGAATTCCGGTGCTACTCAACAAGTCTGTCAAAAAAGCCAGAAAACTTTGTCACGGAAGCGTTTTAGTTTTGCCGTTAGGAACCTGTTCGTCCTTTTACGTTTGAGACTTTGGCCTAGTGAAAGCCAGGCATAAACTGTCGACATGAAACGACGCATAGGTACATGGTGACGAAACAAAAACCCGTGTGAAGTAAAATTAAACGACTGTTTTGATTGGCTTGACGACAGTTGTTTCGCTCCCAGGTCCCGTACATTTCAGATTTGGTATAAAAAGTTCGCTGCCATGTCCAGCTGTCTAATAATGCTAATATGTTGAGTGCTGATGGAACGGACGCGTAAGTCACGTTGACACCAGCTCCAAGATCAAACCCATTGTCACCTTCACCTCGGATGGCCTATCAAGGCCATATGCAATGTTGCGGTTCATGCCTACCGATCGCTGGCGCGGCCGCCTCTTGCCAAACGACAAATGGCTGGGTAGATAGCATTACGGAGTCACAACGGCACGATTGGTGGAAAGCGTGGCAAAGATAGAAGCAGACGGACAGCAACCTTGTATGACAAACTTTTATTGTCATATTGGAGAAGCCGCAACGCCAGTTATTGGTGTAAATGGCCGAGAAGTCTGTATGACAGCCTGTCCTCAGGTGCGCATACTTTGATTTGAATTGAAACACCATACAACTGTGTGAAACGCCATGGTGTGATTTGTGGCAGCTTTTATTACAGAAAAGGGAATACCTCGCACGAGGTTTCTGCCTTCCTCTCTATTGACAGTGCATGTTTGCTTCAGAGCAGCCTCACTTATACCATCATTAATTGTTCACCAATCTTATGTAAGCAGAGTCTGTTCGATATTCATCAGTTGGAACGCAAGTTTTCCTTGTTTAGGCACCGAGTGTGCACGGCTTACAACTTTTTACCAAAAGAACTTGAGCTTTGGAGTGTTTATAACTTAAAAAATATGGCGTCCTCTTTGAAAACTTGTGCCAAATGGTTTGATTATTCTAAAGGAAAAGCGGGGACGCACCACAGGTCGCTACTAGGTTACTTTTCCCTCCATTGTTTTCGCACGAAGGTTGGTTTGTCACCCGGATGCAAATGCACGAGTGAAGTGAAAACTTATTTCCAGCCTGAGGCGTCACCCGGACATTTGATGTCTATAGAAGGGCAGGAAGCATGCAAACGATCACCGTAAGAATGTTACGTACACTTTACAGCATTTCTTCGGGACCTATGGGTTTTCTTCACCAACTCATTGATCATCAAGTTCCACTTACGTTGTGGGAATGTGAACGGTTTTGGTGACTTCATGCCTTTTCCTGTTGGCTATTACGCACTACCTCGGTCACAACACACGGCGTTGTCGGCATTGATACTGTGGCTCTTTTGAGCTTTATGCCGAGGGGCATGGAAGCAAGAAAATGTCATAAATATTTGCAGATTCTATCGGTAAAGTGATACCAACCTAATCAATCCCTCAAGCTCCCACATCGTAACAACGACCAAACAGTAGCATGTTGAGGCTGCCCGAACCACAGACGGGCAATCTGAAAGGTGTCGATAGTCCATGCCGTGTTTAAAGTCAGAAAGTACCTTGCTTTAGGACAACAAACGACTAGGAAGCTATTTCGAAATGCACCACTCCTGGAAAGCGAAGCAGAAATTACGTCCAAGACAATGATTTGGGACCGTTCGGGGCAGGAGAGGAAGCGTCGCGATTTTGTCCGCTTAGCCGTCTGCACGTGTCGCACAGCCCTACGCACATTAACAGAAATTGGATATTCTAACGTAAGGACTTCATTGGTTGGCTATCGTGGTTATACCTTTTTTTGGTAAAGTCTGCGCCGGCCAGGAGGTTTTTGTGTTTCACGCACCATGATTTTGAAATCTTGAAGCCAAAAGCAGTATCTCAGGTCCTGTCTGGTCAAGTCTTATGAAATCACGAAAAGCATAATGTCGACGCCACCGCGTAGCTTTTGTGCTGTTGTTAAATGCCGGCGCCACCGTGACTGTTCCGCATTATACCGGCCTCGAGTCTGCCGACCGCCTGCATTACATTTATCTTCAGCGATAATCTACAGGAATATCTTCAATCAATATACTGCACTCAGCCACTTTGCGATGCACAAAGCGACTTTTGGAGATTTTATTGTGAAAGAATTCACACCAGATGTCGATAGCATGCATGCGCATGCACATACAGCATTTCAATGTGATATAAACACCAGACATCTCCATTTACGTTCAGATGCACGTGCATAAATACGGTAACACCTCCGCTGATTGTCGCTGCCTATCTGTTTTAGCACAATCGTTTTGAATTGAGCAGGCTCGACCGCGCGGTTCTAATTTTTTTATGAAAAGATCGGCGAGCACACACACATGCTTCTAATCTATATAAGTGCTTAATGCTACGTACATCATGGTTGAAGCTACAAAATTGATCTGTAAGACAAGTGCGTGGCCAGAGAAATCAGAATCTTTAAATTTTATCAGCATGCGCAACCATTTTAAATGCGATAGAAAAGGACGTATCACTGACTGGTAAGCTGTGTAGTTAATGGAAACGGTCGGTAGCTGACAGCACATACGTGGATCTTGACAAATCCAACGTCACTTGACCCCATACGCTCCTCATGCAGAAGTTCCACGCCGTCTCATTAGCTCACTGACATGCGTCCGCCTGATCCACCGCGTCCGGATTCAACACTCGCTTCTCTACAACACCTCACGGAATCACAACACTCACCACTCAAGCCAACCACGATCAACGGAATTTGATTTGTTTTTCATCGCAGGCCCTAGACAGTAACTGCGAGTCAAGTCCAGATTTACCGAAAAAGTCAGTTTGACTCGTCTTACTTATTCGTTTTACCGGTCGGCTGACGCGCGCCGACCGCTCACCGGATTACGACGCACGGGTGGCAGTTATCCAGGTCCTTTATGAACGACTTCATGCAGGGATAACAAACCTCCTCCTTGGAACCGTGTGAGTCCCCCACCTTGAAACCCTTCTTCTTCGTCTTCTCGAACTTCATGGTGAGTCCGGGTGGATCCTCCTTCGGCGTCACCGTTCTTCGGGACGAAGGCGGTCGCTGCGACGTCGCCGACGTCGACGTCGCCTGCGTCGACGAGGCAGGAGTCGACGCCGAACTTTGTGTAGATGTCGCTGGCGTCGTGCCGCCAGGCGACACTAGCTGGCCCAGATCCGGCGGTAGCAGACTCTCCACGCCCCCCGTGGCCAGTAGGTCGTTGGTGCGGCTTCGCCGGACCGGCAGTGTCAGAGTGCTGATCATCCCGCCGTCTGGTTCATGATGCTCTGACAGCAGCGGCGGCAACAGGTTCAACGGCACCTTGAGTGAGGGGAAGTAGACGGGCTTCAGCTGGTCCACCATCATCTTGCGCAGCGCCATCTCGCCCGTGATGAGTTCGCCGCGCACCTTCATCTTGCGCTCCTCGTGCGGCCCGTCCTCCCTCAGCGCGAACTGCGGCGGCTCGATCGTAAAGGACAGCTTCAGCGCCTCCAGCTCGTCGGGGGCCGGGAGCTGTTTGGCCGGCGGCCGCCGTCTCCGCGCCAGCCTGGCGGGCTTCGCGGTCGTCGCTCGCCGAGATCCTGCGCTGGGCCTGGGGATCACACGCGCTCGCGCTGTTGAGGCGGCCGCCTCCGCCTTTCCTCTCTCTGTGGTCCGTCTCGTCACTGCTGGCCGCGGCGTGGTCGGTGGCGGCGTCTGGCGTGTGGTCGCCTTCCCCGCGGTGGCCGGCGGAAGCGTGGTCCTTCTGGGCGCCGACCGCGTTGTCGGGGGTCTCGGGGGTCGCGTGGCTTCCGTCGTAATCCGCCCGACAGTCGACCTGGCGGTCACCGACTTCGGAGTGGTTGTGCGCGTCCGGACGGTCCGAGCCGTCTTCGCGGTGGTTCGGCGAGTTGTCGTAGGTGACGCTGTGGTCGGCCGGGGCGTCGTGGTGCTTGGCGCTGCCTTGGCGGTGCGGGGTTTCGGAGGCAGGACCGCAACAGGCCTGCCCTCGTCCATCTCAATCCCAAACACGAAACTGCCCGGCAGACCGAACGTTTGGAATGTGTTCCTGGGCAGCGCCGGGTCCCGCCGCTCGAACGCCGCTAGTGCCGCGCTGAGGGCGGACGGCGGGCTCAGTGTCTTCTCCACCGCTGAAACTGCCTCGGCCGCGATGTCTGCGGCTGACGATGACGTCCTGTTCGCCGGTATTATGTCCGACAGCCGCAAGCGCGGCTTCATCCTCAGCGAGCCGCCTCTCGTTTTGTGCGCCTCGCCGCCGGACACCCGCGGCCGGTCGCCGGTCTTCGCCCGGGGTCCCGGCCTCTCCGTGACGGTCACAGCGCCGATCGCACCGACAGCGGGCGCCTTTGGCCGCTCCGTGCCGCGAAGCCGCGAACGGGTCTTCTCGCCGAACACCGGCGGCGACCGGGTCGTTGGCACTGCCGTCGTGGCGGCGGCCGCCGGCTGCCGGCGCCGCGGCGGCGCGTTTGTGCGTGCGGTGGTCCGCCTCGGTGCTGGGGTCGTCACTGTGCCAGCGCTGGCTCTGGTCAGCGTGGTGAACAGCGCGCGTCGCGTCGGCGCGGACGTAGGAGCCGTTGGTTTGGCTGGCTCGCCTCGGCCGCCGACTGTGGAAGGACTCGCAGCTCTGCCGGTAGGCGGCGCTGCAATTCTGCCGGCAGACGGCGCTGCTGTCGACGCCTTTGCACCCGCCGCATTAGAGACTGTTGCGCTTCCGGTCGCTGGGGCGGGTGTGGTGGCATTCGTTGGGCGTCGCCTTCTGGCGCTCGAGGCACCCGCGCGCCGGTGGCTCTGCACTCTCCTTGGGGCAGGGGTGGTGGTCGGAGACAGACTGGAGGCGGCAGCTTTCGTAGTCAGACGTTGACGGGGCCGGAGCCGCGGGCGTAACTTGGGAAGCGGCATGTCCAGCTTAGTCTCGAACTCGAACAGGACTTCACCGGCGGGCGCCGACACATCCACCTGATTGTCTGCTTTGGAGCCCTCCGTGTCCTTCTTTTTGTGATCTGCGGGCAAAGCGCATCGATCGTGAACGTCCAATACCGTAGTCAAGCATGCTGGAGAAACGCGACTAAGGTTCGGTCGTTTGGACGTTGGTCGGCCGTCGTCGAAAGCCCGTCGGAACGTCTGCATGCATTCACAAATGGATGTTTTAAAGTGCTCCTTTTGGAATTTTCACACATCACAGTCAATTTTGCAACGCTGTTGATGTCATGCTTGCACAAAAACTCATCGAAATACGTGTGGAAAGAATTTCAAGATTATATTGCACAGAAACCGTTCTGTCAGCTGACTCTGCTTCCTAGCGAGGTGAGAGGTCTTATCTCTCTGCATCACGCACCCGCGTGATCGACATGTTGCGTGATACCGTGCATCATTCCCTGTTTTCCGTTTAAGTACAGCCCGAGGCAGCCAGCGTCAACACTGCCACATGTAATAACCTCAAACGCCTGACAGACCATCAAACAAGGCCAAGCCTATTAAGAAGGAGGCATCCATGTGTGGTCTAAATTGCACACACAAACAAAGCTGAAGAATTGTGGTTAAAACAGTCTGTGGTGCTTTATCGGCAAAACAGTGGAGTTTGTCACTCACTGCTGTGACAGCACACGGCCACAAGTCCTTAGAAAGGCGCAGTTCATGGCGGCACGCCGGGAAGAACATCATGTCGACGTCCGCTACCATCTCTCCATCTATCCCCGCTCCTTCCTTTCCCTGATTTACTCCCTGCACGTCATCTTTCAGTCCAAGGTGAGATGCGTATCGGACCTCTTCAGAAGCGCTGGGTCAACCATAAGTGCGTTGCCTCGAAGCCGGTGAAGCGCTGTTGAGTCGTTAAAATATCCGTGTCAGCGGATATTGGAGCGGCGGTCGCGCCCTCAGAGAACCTTTTCAATGTTGGTGGAGAACGAACATCGCAATTTCCGGCGACGGCGTCTACTCAGCCAGAACACCTGAATACTCACGTACTTACATCGATACCTCTACACTGTAAGGCGTCAGCACTGATGTCAGTTTGGGCACGATAGTGAGGGATGGCACTTGTCGTGGGAGACTATACCTGTCCACCGGCGGAAGACGCAGAAGTCTATACATGCGATGTCATTCGACACAACACCGTGATAGCTGCAGAGCGCCACGTAAATGCAGCAGAATCGATGCGCTGTAAGTGTTTTGCAGAGGGTAGCTCATACCGATAAGGGAGATGGAAAGTAGGCAGAGCTTAAACGCCCGAGAACTTTCTGCACACCCGCGTAGCTGGTGTGCAGAAAGTGGTCACGGTCAAGTCATGGTCAAGCTGTAGCGCAAGGTTCTAACAATGTTGCCTCCGGCTGTTGTTGCTTCTCAGCAGCTATTCCCTTGACACTGCCGGCACCCCATTACGATGGAATTGCGGGGAGCGCTTTGCCTACTTTCACCGTTCCAGCACCGTAAGCCGCCGCGAGCCGCCGGAGGTCTTGCACAAGCTCCTTCTCAAGATCGACAACAGATGGACTATGACGGCAGATTCTCCGAATTGCACGGTACCATGCCCGCGTTCCCTCTGTCAAGAGGCTTCTGGCTGCGGTATCTGACCGCACCCAGCTCTCAATAAGTGCCTCGCCAAACACGTCGCCCGGCAGTCGGCATCATTGAAGGTAAGAATAATGTACCAATAAGGAGAATACTCACATGACATTTACTGTATGGTGTACGAAATACGTGTGAAATATGCAGGCATGTTATGAAACTGAAATAGCATCATAACTGCGTGCAATATCAGCCAGTGGGAGCTTCGCAAAGCGAGAGCAAATCAGCGCAGAGCGGGCCGTCTGGAGTAGAGAATGCTCCACGTATGGTACGAAGCGGAGCACATGGACGGTTACACTCCAAGCTAAACATCACTCGACGAAACGAGTGGCAGTGCAGGGTCGAGCGTGCCGACCTGCCTGCACTGTCCCTCTAGTACTCGCCGAGTAAACAGCTCAGGTCTTTGAAGAACCCTGGCTCTGAGAACAGAAGACGCCAGCTCTGCGAGATATAACGTGCGTCGTGTGAGAGCTCTCTAGTCAGCGTTGTCAGAGGTCCCCACCAAGACTCAAAAATCTTACTTCCGAACAAATTCATGCGTCCATTCTTCGTCCCTTTCCCACGCTTCTTGTCGTCCTCCCTCAATGGGCACACAAATCCCCACTAAACTCTCGGTCGCGCCTGATCACGTAAATCCGCCGTGAAACAGCAGCGGTGGCACCTGCGGCGGCCACACGAGCCAGCTGACCTCGCTCTCCGGGACCTGGGCGTTCTCGCCCGCAGCCCCGATCGCCTGACCACCAGCCGCGACCTTCTGCAGGCGAATCGACCCGATGACGACCGGCTGGCGGTTAACGCCGGCGGCGCCGCCCCGACTGGTGATGATGATGAAACATAACGGCAGCCGCGGCCCCGTGCACTCTGGGGGAGGGTTCAAGCGCGCAGCAAGAATGCCTTAAGACCGCGTTTCGTTTGCGAAAAAATCGCGCGTTCTTATCGGCCGTAAAAGTTCCTATAAGCCAAAGATGTAGTGCTTTTATCTTCTGATTCCTCACCTGTGCAATGAGCCTCATTAGCTTTCCAAACGCGTACGCCAAATCCGCGGAGTTAAGTTCCCGTTTTAGGGCTTTGTGAGTGAATTGATTGTACAGTATACGCCCTGACTCCTCCCCAGCCAGACTAGCAGAAGTCCTGATTAAGCGACCAGTGGTTCTGACGGACGTGCAAAGCCACTACTGCCAGGTTATCTGTCGACGAAGCGTGTGGCTGTGTGCCAGACAGATGGGACACGATCTGCACTAAATACTTTTTCAGACAGATCTCTGAAGTTGGCACATCATCCGCATATCCTAACGCGCCGGTCGGTTCTTCGTACAAGTAAGCCGTTAAGCGGGTGAAAGTCCCATTTTGCGGGACGCTGCAGACGGACAATGCCGAAGTTCCAAGTGACCAAATGTGTGCTTAGCTTACAGCCATCACGCCCCGTCCTTGTGTGCATGACTATCCGAAGTTAATCACTGGCTACCAATACCAAATGAATGACGTGCTTCGTTGGTTCATACACCGACATTCCAGATAGCGGCACGACAACATATATCTAAGCTTGAATGCAGTAACATTTAGACGACATTCTGCCCTTCATCCGCACCTTCATGTGCATACACATGCGATAATTCTACATTTGATTGGAAATGGCACTATATGTAAACAGCAGCGCTTGTGAATTTCATCTCACTGATCTTGCCATGGCTTTCCTACGTCCACTCAGCGAGGAAATTAATCATACAGCTAATTAAAGCTGCCACCTGTTGCGGACACGCGGCGGACCGACCGGCCGCTCTCCAGCTCCGGCACGTGCCATGCTCACCGGAAATCAACCACCGCCGACCTCCGGAGCGTTCACACAGGCGGGGGGTCACCTCAAAACGCACCTGGCACGGACGAGGCTCGGCCGGGCACCTGTGCCCTGCCTGGGTGAACCAATGTCGCTGTTTGTCAGGAGCCTTTAAAAAACTGACGTACGTGGCTGGCATTCTTTTTGCAGCGTCGGTGACTACAGAGGCAAAGTCAGCGATCTGGGCCAAGGCTCTACCGCGATTCGAACCAGGGCCTCCCGCGTATGAACCGAAGGTGCCGACCACTCGGCAATCAACCCCTTGCCAAGTCTCACCGTCGTGGTGCAGGCTGTGGAAGCGCATGCGGGGCTTGCCGATCATCTCGTTCATATGGTAGAACTTCTCCGACATGGAGCAGTTGACGCGCTCGTGCTGCACGCACGTCATGTAGAACTGGTTGAACTCGGTCAGCGCCGGGCACAGGTAGCTGTAGCGCTTCGACTGCGGGTCGCACATGTGGTACATCTGCCGGCAAGGCGCACGGCATGGTCACGTCCTGCGCCTTCAGCCTCCGGCTCTGGCACGACTGACACATCAGCCAATGGGAATGTGGCAAGCGTCAACGCGTCAGGGGTTGTGATCAGACGTTGCAGCCACCGGCGTTGGTATGTCGGCACAGTGAAAGCATCGGCCGCGACCACGACTCGGCCCACCGTGCAGCGGACCTGAACTGGTGAAGATAACGTACACGTGGCGATGCATGATGTTCAAGGATCGCATTGGCGCCTGAGCATTGATCAGGCTACTTCAAGAAAATGTGGAACTACCGTCTGGTAGATTAACGCCCTTGTTGGTAGAATGTGACTGGAAATGACGAAACAACACATAATTACTGGGACATTTCTCTCAGGACTTCTTCCGATTGCGAAGGGTAAATAATCTTATTGAACAGAGAAACCTCGTGTGGCTTCGGGTCATACAACCATTTAATATGTATATACAACTGAGAACATTTGTTGCATACATACACCACACGGATTCTGTCAGTCAAATGACACATCGGAGCGAATAAATCCATCCTAGCGTTTGTCCGTACTTGCTCGCTTCACTTGCAAGCACACATCATTGCACGCTCACTACAATTTGGAAGCAATCACTCTGCCTAACACGCTTCCAGAAGCATTGCGCATCGGGTCGTGCCATCCATCTTGGGGCCCGAGGCGCGGGCAATGTTCCGGCGTGGCTTATCATTTAAACAATATCTGTGCAAACATTATCTGAGGGGAAGAGAGCGTCGTCCTGTGGCAGACGATCAAGTAAGCTGGTGACGCCATGGTGGTACCGACTTGGGACTCAAACGAGCAGGCCCTTGTGTGTTTGCGAAACACATTACACGAGTATTTGGGGAATCAGCTGGCTTGGCGACAGCGAAGGGCGTCTGCAACAAATGTACACTGTAGCTTCTTTTGATTTGAAGCGACATGGATTGCGGGCCTCAAGTATAACATAGGCGCATATCCACTGGTGGTAGTAGCTGGCGCTCCTGTTTCCAGGCTAGCTGTCCAGCCCAATGTCCGTGCATGAGTACCTATGCGGTGCGCTGCGGGCTCCTCTCAGGCATCCTGCCGCACACGTGCGATGTATAAGATGCATGCACTCACGTTGCTTGTTTCGTCTGGTTTTAACTCGGGTCCTCGTGCCAAGTCTAGCCGAGACACCGGGTGGCTCTGAGCCCAAGGACCGGACTTGTGGGAGCCGCTGAACCGTTAGCAGCATCCTTGGTGCAAGCAAGCATGCATTCACCTTCTGGTCTTTTGGAATTTTGAGCCTTTCCGCCGAAAAGAACCGGCCATCCTTGATCAGGACGTGCTGATTAAGGATGATCACAGGCAATCGTCCAGCTTGTCATGAGAACACCAGACGCTCCCAGCAGTGTTCATGGCCCCAAAGCACGACTCATGACAAGTTGACTTGTATCTAGGGTCGTGAGTGAGTCGTGACAGGTGACCATGAACACCGCTGTGAAAAGGTTCGCTATTTACATAACATATTTTAATAATTGATCCACTCATCTGTTTACCACGACCACCTGATATGCTGAAGGTCGGTTCCGTTCAGTTTTACACAAATAATTGGTGCTGCTCTTTTTCATCCTGAAAGAAAATTATCTATGAGTAAAGGATCTTGGCAGCAACAAGAGCGGTTGTAAATCCCGTCAATTGAACCGTGCGATACCAAAAAGCCTTCAAAGGACGTACTGTTTTAATGTCACCAATCCCAGTTCTCACACCCCTCTGGCCTTCACTGCTTCCTTCTTTGGCAGATGCCTCCGGTCCGCCCGTGACCTTGAACGGCACGAGCCTCCGCAGGCCGATCACGTGACCCACTCCTCCCGGGCGGCAGCCGAGCCGCCCGCGCGGGCCGAGCCGTACACAATGCCAGTGGCAGCGGCGCCGCGTGTCGCGCAAAGGTCGCCGCCGGCGTCAAAGGTCGCCGTCCAGGGCACCTCGGACGCCACGTGCCGCGCGGGAGGGCGGCGGCCGTTCTGACGGGGACGCGCGCGTGGTGTCGGTGCTGACCGTTAGCGCTAGGCCGGCGCCCGCTGGGCACCGGAGGCGGGCCCGATCCGTCCCGCCGATGATTGGTCACCCGAGCCTCATCCTGCCGGGCGTCTCGTTATAACGCCACCCACGGTGGTGTCACCTGGGCCGCTGGCGGGGTCCGGGACGCGGGCGGGCTGTTCGGGGGAGGGGGGGGGGACTCCAGTACGTGACAGAGGGATGGATATGTCAGTCCTCCAATGGCAGCTCGCGGTCTGTCGCTGAGGTTGGCCTGTCAGACTGAACGTGGGGCCCAACGGCCTCCTCGCTGTCTCACTTTTACGTGGTTCGTGAATTTTAATATAAAAGCACCATATTTCTCATCTTTCTATGCTTGAGGGGGATTGAACGCATTTCCACAACCCACCGCTTTGCAATTTTGCTATCATCGTGGAGCATTTCAATTTTTAATGAAATGACGCGCCTCTGAGCATTCACGATTTTGCAGCGCCTTTTTCCAGACTCAGACTGGGTCGTACAAGGCGCTTGCAAATCATCGTCTCGCTTAAAGCAACCTAGAAAGCGCAAGTGTCAATGCCACTGCTGTGCCCACATCCTTGGGTCCACGGTCAGCCCCGAGAGGCCGCATGCACCCTCCCTCGCCATAAACAGCAAATGTGCATGCCGTTCAGTTGCAAGTTGGCTCTCTCGGCGCCCGCGCCTGCTCCGAGCGCCCCGCCCTCTCACCTGACAACCACTGTCGACGTCGGCGTAGTAACCGGGAACGCGACCTGCGCAGCTGAAGCTGATGTTGGTCGGCAGCAACGTCAGCCACTCACGCGGCGTGTCCTACCGGCGGAGAACGGTGCGGTTAGACACGATTAGACACGGCACGGTTAGACGCGAACATCTCACCGCCGGTGCACAACCCGAGATGACGTGAAGAAAGGCAGGATGTTTGTCTTTGCATTCGACTGTCTTTGTGAGACAGCTGTCTTACGAGGATGCTGCTGAGGAAAGCCAATGGGCTCACAGTTCGGGAACGGTGAGCTCTAAGCTGGACTTTCTACTAGCATATCCCACACCGCGAAAACACACAAAGGTGGAAGCGCAACAATCACGTCACCTTTTCGTTTTTTATCGCTTCCGTGGCAGACGATGATATAAATACAGGAAAATCGCAGTGTTTTGCAGTCGGTGTGAGCTCTGTCACATCGATATGCTTGACTTTCGAGAGCGGTTAGTTGACGCGATTCGTCCGAAATTAAGCCATTCTACATTTGTACCGGTCACATGCGATAATTAGTATGACCTTAGTATGTGTAATGATTGGACGATCCTTGGGATTGGCTTGCTGTGGCCACGCGCCTGTTTATAGCAACTATGATCAAGCTATTCCATGAATTATCGCGTCATTCTTGCAGACGAATGCAGCTTTTATCAGCAGGATTCTAGTGCTAAAACCAGCAGACTAGCACCGAATTGGCTACTTTGACAGGCTTCAGTTGACTGAGGCTATCTAAGCCGTGCATATCCCCTGGTTATCTCATGTTCTTCCAGGTAAAAGGTCTGGCCGGCAGACATAACCTTGGCAGGGATTCTGCTCAATCATCAAGCGTTCATTTCCACGGTGCCCGTTGTCGCCTCGAAATAGCTCGAAATTCTACGGCGCTCGCTTTCGCCTCTTATGTTCAATGCTTTGCATGTTGCAAAGATCTGCAGGAAATGTCGGATGAAAACTTAACAGTGAGATCGTCTGACAATAACAAACACAGATAATCCAGGCACTACCAATGAAGAGTCTACAGAAGGAGTGCAGAAGCGTTGGCGTGTGCTGTGCCCCCTCACAGCTGTTCGGGAGATAGCAAATGGCAATCTGCAAATCCAATACAATTTGAAGGCGCAGTGTTGTTCTCAGCAGGCGGTGATGGGCACATCGGGTGTATCGCCATGCGGCCCCGAACTGGAGTTCGAATCTGAATGGCCGCGGAGCTCCGTCTTGTTCGCGTCAGGTAACGAAAGAGGTGTCGATCTGCAGAACTCGCAGGCTACTGCTGCCGGTGTGTGTCTGAGTTGTAGCTCTCTCGCCGCACAGGAACCTCCCTCTAGCCCAGTTTTGTTTTTGCAGTACCAGAAGACTTCTTGCAACGTGATCACAAAAATGTTTTGCATTCGCAAGGTTTTCTATCAACAAAATTGGAATTCTGAACGTTCATGAGGTTACTTCGAGCAGGTCATGTGTCACCCAGCAGACTTCCGTCAGTACCAAGGAGCGCGATCATAGATCTCTGTACTACTTTGAAGCCTTTGAAGATTATGAATAAGTGTCCTGTAACCACGGTGGTCATGCGTGTCTTCTCATACGTGAAGGTCTCCAACTACCTCCCGAGGACGAAGAAAGGTGGCTGGTTCTGCAGGCCAAGGGCCCTTGGAAGCTTCACGATATTGATAGATTACTTCAAGGGCGACCCCTGGCGCCTGCGGCCCTTTCACAATGGTGTGACTCGTGTCTAGATGTGTATGCGTCAGATTTGCTTCAATAGTACGTATCGCTGTAGGATTACAGAGCTATTTCAGCTCTCGAACGTTTTACAACTGATCACGGCCATTTTTGCACTTTGGAGCGCTTGCGATCGACCGATTCCTTTTGGACGTGACGAGCATGACGTGAATCTGATTTCAGACCAGGACCCCGCTGGACGCTTCGGAGCCTTTCGGCTTTTGCACGGAGGCCCCTATCCTATAAGTACCTCTCTCAGGCGCCGGGGCCGTCTTAAGTGCTGTCGTTTTCTGCGTACTGTCCACGTTATACAGCAGCGCAACAATGCCATGCAACAGATCACGTTACACACAGTGCATTTTGTACTTCAATGAACGATACGCACGAAAGAAGGCAGGCCACCGACAGCGACGCTCAGAACACAGTCCCGACAGCAAGCCAGCCGTCTGTAAAAAGATTCTCCATCCGGATCTCACGTGAAAGACCCTGAAACACGCCCTAGATTACCAGGCGGACCGTGCCTTATATAGCCTGGTCTCAAAGCAAGCTCGTGGCCAAAGCCACCTGGTCACTGGATGCCAAAACTCGTAGCCCTGCTCCTTGTATGCAAAGCGGTCCCTGGAAAGTGTCACCTATAACCCGAGCCATATTGGTGCAGCTTTTCGCTGCATTTCCGGCTGTCGGCTGCGGAGAAGGGAGCGGGAGACAAAGAGCTCAAACACTGCTTGCAGGGTGAGACGATAGGGCCTTATCGAAGTCTGCCGTAGCTCAGTGACAGAATACTTAACTCATTTGCAATCATTTTGAGTGACAGACACCGCTCATTAGCAAGGAATGGTGCTCATATGCTTGTAAGGAATATAGGATTACTGGCGCTGTATAAAGCAGAGCACTGCCTGATTACCACATAAATCCACCTTTATAATATATTAACTGAGTACGACGGAACCTTACCATCCGTCACTAGTTGGCAGGTAGCCAAGGGCAATGCCTCCCGACACGCCTTGATGCAAAGCCTCGTCCTTCAGCTGAGCTTTAATCCCCGCAAAACAATCATACTAAATGTTGCGGCACCCCTAGCCAGCAAATGAGGAAAAGCATGACATCATGTTATTAAGCCATGCAAGAGGACTGTATGTAAGAGGGTTCGCATGACATGCTATTCGTTGCCCTTAGTTTGTCCGTTTATTTTGTTTATTTCAGCTGGCGTGCCATTCACTTTTGATACTTCCACAAAGGGCAAAATGGGCGAGTAGGCTAGCCGACTTTTTCACATGAAATCAGCGCCGTGCGAGTTTATGCTTGACTTGCGTTTTTGGCGCGTGCACACCACGTGCCGCCGCCATTAAAACTCGTTTTTGGTTAGGGGCGGGCCGGCCGACAGGACTTAGCATGTGCTCTTAAGTCTAGAAGAAGGCCTGAATGGATAGGACTGAATGGTGCCTGAGGTCCCACGTGCTGGGCATCACATCGTATTTGAATGTATCTATGTCATGTATTTCACGACGGAACTAATTGAAAATAATGATGACTTCATATCGATGCTAATAAATGTATCAAAGTGCTTTGCCCTTTTGTTTACGCCCAGAAAGGCTGCCCCTTCCCACTGAAACGTACCGGCAGTGTATTGGACATTCATTTGTGAAAATTTAACGCATGCTGTTGAATGAATTTTGAAATTGCAATAACTGTGGGCTGTCGGGGATACGCAATTATACAGCATATTTTCCAGTGGCTGTGGCAAGCTGAACCAAATGTTTGTGCAGTATTGCTCGGCATTGACCACCATAGCAAAGGTAGACGAAAGGAAATTGACTATCATCACAATGAAAGTCGTAAAAAATACGTTTAGTCGACTGCCGTGGAAAGGGAAACTGGAAACATTTTTGATATGGATGCAACTTTCTGAATGCCAAGAGGTCCAAGTTCCCAAGATTTTAAACTTTCGCACCGGACTTATATGCGCTGTGTGGAAGAAATAAACAGAACCTCTATTAAGCGCACCATTTCCTGATGGCGTAGTAAAATTTCACCTTTCAGATAATATCCAACAGGTTTTGTCACTATATTTGCTAATACTTACTGAGCGATCTCTTAATTATGAGAAAAACCTTGACCTCACCTAACAGGGTCGGAACTCCAGAATTGTCGTCATCTACTCACACTGCGTCACTCTTCTTATTTCTGGTAGAGGTCGCAGCAGGGGCAAGATACGCCCAAAGCGCAGGTATGGACAGACTGGATTTGAACGCTGCCACAAGTGCTCAGGTACAGCAAAACCAGCACCAGATGAAATTTTGAGCTATAGCTTGAGCGGAACTGCGTGATACACGAAATTTGGAATCCTTTCAGTTGTACCTAAGCGGGAAAGCTGCATCTTTAACATCACTTTTCACGACTCTGGCATAGATCATTTGCGGCGGTTATATGCCATATCGAGATGCGATAGATAACAGGGATTTGGTCATCCGTCATGGGGGACAAAAACACTGCCGTCTTTCTTGTGGGTATTGCAACACCAAAAATGACCGCAGAGGGATGACAAAGACGCCGGCGTGTTCCATCCAAAATATTCGTAATATTTGAGATCGCTTGGCCAACTAAGCCATCATTGTGATAATGCCAACTAATGATAATGCCAATCCACCACGCTCTCATTTGGGCCCTTCGCACCACATCCACGGCGCGCACTCTTCCCAAGTCAAAGCTGCCTCTTTCAAGAGGCAACTGTAGGCCAATGTATTCCAGAAGCGAAATTCCCCAGACAACTATGTTCGCTATGCTTTCAGTTACTCTTTTAGTACGTGTCACACTCGGTAGTCATCAAGGTCAAGCGAGTATGCGGTAATGTCACCGCCCTCTTTCATTCATAGATACGCTAACTCGAATGTCGTCGCAGTCTATGCGCGTGCAGTTTTTGCACGTTAACAATTCATGAATTCCCCTCGGCAAAGTCGCCTTTTAGTACATCAGTTCGACCCAGGGCACAGAGCGGGAGACCTTCGTCGGTAATTTGTGTCACCGCCCGGACGCGGTCCGTGTCCGCCGTCCTTGAAGAAGACGCGCCGCCCGGTATCGTCTACGCCAGCCAAGTGCCGATGCGCTATGCGGCCCAAACAATGCAATTAAGCGAGGTCATCTTGCTCGCCACACGACGGCACCAGCCGCGTGCTGCCCGCGAACGTGCAGACCGCAGTCAGGAAGGATCAATCGAGGGCGGACGAGCACATGCCGCCCGCAGGAGACGAAAACTGGACAAGATGCGTGCAGCACAAATCGCAAAAGAAACGTCATGAGCTTTCAACGCCCATGCTCTAAATGTATCAAAATACCTACGACTTTTGAGAAGCACTTGAGAAGCAGCTTCAGAAAATTCGTAGATCGCGGGGCTATCTCTGAACAAGAACGTTTCTTGAACGTCAGGTACATCCGAGTCGAAATGGCGGGACCAGTACTGTTCTATGCATGTCACGTTGCTATCTACACATCGACAATGTTTCCCTACTTCCCACATCCCTAGTGATGTGAGTGGACTTGCACGGGTTGAAACCAAAGAACGACAGTCACGCGCGATTGGCCAGATATACCCGCAGCCGGGCTGCATGACGCATTTATTGGTCGGGTTCTTTTCGGACGGAGCATGTCTCCTTCAAACATGGCTTATTGCACGATGCAACTGACCTCTGACCCCGTGACGTAATGTCGTGCTGGTGTTGCACAGTGACTGTGATGGAACGAGTTACAAACTTTGCATACGCGCCTGAAAGGCAAACACGCCATTCCGGGGACATTTCCTTTTAACAGTGTTGATGCGCATCTGATTCCCTTTATTTCACCATGTTAAACAATATATTACATTCATTTCCTTATCCTGAAATCTGGCTTTAATCGATCCACGACAGCTGAACTAGACAAACCATCGCGTATATATATACGCGACGGATATATATATATATATATATATATATATATATATATATATATATATATATATATATATATATATATATACATGTATATACATATATAAATATACAGATCTATATCTGTATATATATATATATTATATATATATATATATATATATATATATATATATATATATATATATGTATATATGTATATATATACTGTATATACATATATATATACAGATATATATATATATATATATATATATATATATATATATATATATATATATGCGTGCATGCGTGTGCATCTGTCACAAAATAAACGACTGGTCTCTGACAAACTATCACTAGCGTCGGATTGCACACAAGTGTCCGCAACCATAGGAATGCTTTATGCTGCAGCGCACGGATTATACTGTCCCTACGTCTCGATGTGTTTTCAAGACAACTTGAAATGAACTGATCAATAGCCCGCAATTAAGTAAAGATCAGATAGGTCTTATCACTAAAAACAAAAAGACGTGATTCTTCGTCAGGCACCGGTTCATAAGCAGAACGCGTGCATGTTTAGAACACAATCTCACGGTGCAGATGCTTGCCTAAAGTCAACGTGCCTAACTCGGATTGGGGAGCCAGCCTTCTTGAATTTGCCTTCTGTGTTCATGCCTTCCATTTGAAAGCCTCTTACAGAGTTTTCCACTGGAATCCACGTTTCGTGGTTGAATGGCGCCTCTACAACGAGACTATTTTCCCACTGTAATCCTAGTTCGCCACCATGACAAACAAAAGTTGCTGCCTGGTTAGATTAGCGTTGTTCTTGTACACCTGCCCAGATTTGTGTTCGACAGACTTTGGTCAATTCATTTCGCAATACTAACGTCGTTGCGAAAGTTATATTACCTTCTTTCGACACAGATGTCTTATATTATTTGTTTCATTGAAATTCCAACGGAATCCTAGGTAGCAAGAGCAATGCACGCAATTCTTGTCTATATTCACTACTTTTTGGGGTAATAACTGTTTATTTTTCATGGCGCTTTGCCACTTCACATACATTTCATCTCATCAGCACCGCAAAAACCTCTCTGCGAAGCAATGCGGCGAACGGGCACACGCATTTCAAACAGTTAATCAGAGATTGACTACCGGCCAGCAGACATGCACCTCGACTCCCAAAAAAAGATTCCGAGATCTGGTCCCATCACCCCATCAGCACGGAACCTTGGCATTCTGGGCCCATCCTTGGGATCCAGGGGCACCTCTGCCAGCCAGTTCACTGATGGTACCGGCCTTGCATGGACTAGGCTGAGCTTGGGCCCGTTTTCAGCCGTTGCCGGTTTTTAAAGTCATATGTAAAGGCAATGGTTTTTCTATCTATGCTCCGGGTAATGAGGTCAAAAGTAACAGCTCATTGGATGAGCGTTTGGAACCCAATATAACTTTCTAGCGACGCTTGTAGTACTTGTAGCTACTCTTGCGCGTTCATTACAAAGGGTTTCTGTGGCAGCATCGAAAAGTGGTAACAATTCTCCGGCTCTGATTGTTTACACGGATTCCGTCCCGTAAACTGAGCTGCAGCTCGATGCTCCATCACATGAAATCGTCTCACCGAAGGGTTGTTTATTGGCCTACGGTTGTTTTTCCGGGCCAATTAGTGAACCAATCGGAGCAGTATTTCACGCACGAGGATCATTTCTGCTTCATTTGTCACGAGGCACGAAAGTAAACACGCGTGAGAACTCGAGATCGTTGATGGATTTGGCCTTGTGAGAGCGGCCCTGAAGTGAAAACAAATTGATGTCAGAACATCCGATATGGGTGTGATATCACGAATGATCGATACGGAGAAAAGGTTGAAAACAGAACAAGGGACGAACAAGGGACTTAACATTTAGCAAAGCCAGTGAAATCTTCCCCGTGTCACTGCTGGTGTCCTTCCTCAAGCGGAACCAGTTCAAATCGAATATCAATATTATTTTAATGCGTAAATAAACTGTCTTTCCCGGCCAAGATCGACGACCGCCGCCAGCTTGGTGGCAGCAGGCTTCCAGCACAATCGCCACCGCTCTCTTCCCGCTGTGACGTCACAACCGGGACCAGGTCAGAAGGGGAGGGGCTGGGAGATGCGGTCTCACCTGGTCTGAAGGGAGGGGGGCGACAGCCGCGGTGGCGACCGCCGCCAGGGCGAGCAGTGACGTCACCGCTGTCATGGCCGGCGCTTGTCGACGACCGTGGCGCGCTCTTGGCGCATGTCCTCCCCGTACCCTGCCGGAGGAGCGGTGAGTCGGTCAGTCACGAGGCACAGGAAGAGCGGTGAGTCAGTATGACACGAGGCACAGGAGGAGCGGCGAGTCGGTATGACACGAGGTACAAGTGCTGCGTTGGGACCACTGCGTTTAAGTGCTGCGCTCGAATCTTCTCTACAAGCTCTAGTCACGGCAGCCAGCAGAGTTGTGTTGGCTGTGAGGAACGATACATGTGGATTGCTTAACACTCTGCGCTGTCGTGGTTTTGACCACAAGCACCACAGGTCTGCCAAGATGGCAAGAATGTGCAATTTTCTGTGGTCCATGCTGGTTGCGCTCAGGCTCTCTATTGCTCAGCCTTACCGAACCCAAATAAAACTTCCGGTGACTCTCCTGTTTTGGATGTGAAACAGGTCAAATGCGATACGTTCTCAGCTGTTGTTACATTTTTGTAAAAGGCCTGGTCATAAAATGAACAGCCAATGTACTGGCGCCATAAAACCACACCAATACAGGCTGGAATGGATCGCGTGATTCTAAAGCCGAGTTGCGATAGCCCGTCCAGGTGTCACAAAAAGCTAAAAGCTGCTTTTTTGTGTGTAATGTGAACGTAAGACTCTTACATGCCCACAACTAGACTCTAAACTAGAGTTTTGGGTTTGTTGAAAAACTGTTCAGTGTGGTTCAGTTTTAAACACGTCTATTTTAGTGTATTTCACTGCACATTCCACGGGTTCAACTATATACGTATTGGACCCGTGGAATATGCAGCAAAATACACCAAAATGTAGCTCTTTAGAATTGGACTACATTGAGTACTTTTCCCGATAAAACAGAGGCATAATAATGTATCCATATCAAAGACATGACGCTCCAGTCACACATTTCAAGCCTCTTAACCCAACGAGCGCGGGAAGAACGCAAATATCTCTACTGTTGCACAGTCTCTCTCGGTGTTCCCTCGGTCACGGCTTCCTGAGAACACAACGGTGCGGTTCAAAGTACCGCAAAAATTATGGCTGCAATAAAATACTGGCCTTCTACAGGGTTTACGTTAAATGCATCATGTTGTTGAAATATTGCAGCGTTAAAAGTGGAGGGGCAAAAAGAGCTATTCGATACGACTTGACGGTGCTGAAACTATATACGAGCAAAGCTAGCAAAACAATATCATGGGATGACTCCAGTTCCGTAAAAGGCAGGTTTTCCACTTAATGGGTATTCTCGAACTGGGGTAGGTTTGCAGTAGAGAGAGATCTACATAATCAATGCATTATTTATGCCCCACGTATTGCAGAAGTCATGCTGTAGTTCGTGAGCTTCAGGCTAACCAGTCCTATTCATAGGAATATTTTGTTTGAGCTATAAATTTGTCAATTTTCATGTTGTAATGACAAAGACAAAAACTCATTCGCTGCAATGTACTGCACCACACTTCCTGAGGAGCGCTCCATTCAAGCAGATCACTGGTCGTGGCATTGCGTGCAAAAGCGTTGCTTTCGGTCAGAATATATCAACGGTGACTGGCGATTGACGAGCAAGAGGGTGACGTTACCTCACTGGATGGTGTCGTCATGACAGGATGATGCAATAAGGCTGAATATTTCGCCTTCCAAAGCTGTGTTATCTGCACCGCTTCTGACAGCAACAGATGGCAGAACTGCTGCAGCGTGCTGTGATTGATCACACAAGAGTGGAGAGAAAAATACGATATTCTGCTCTCCGCTGACTATCCACAGAGCAGAGACATTCCATTTCAAAGTGCAAGTAATCTGCATATGAAATGACACCAAGGTGATAATGTGAGGGAGCGGTAGTTAATCCGATAAATCCAACGATGTTTCCGCTTCAGATTAATGAAGCCGCGTCGACCACGCCGCGTGGTGGCGTGAAACGAAAATAGCCTGTCACGGCGCAGGCCCCTTTTAATCACGCAATCAACAACACAGCGACGGGGCGGCTCGAATTCGGAGCCCACCGAGCCCGGCCACAGTCGGCTGAATCTATGTGCCGCATCACCGCCGCCGCGCACTGGGGCTCCCGTCGCCACCTCGCAGCGCCGCGCGCCCGCAGGACAACGCCTCTGTGAAATCCACGCGGATTTCTTGCGGGCAGTCCGATGGCCGTTCCCCAGTAGATCGATGACAGTCGCCTGGGTCGATGGAGCGTGTAGTCGCGTTTATTTCAGCTCAGATGCTCTCGGCTGCGGCTACCGTTGCAAGAGTATATTTTCGTGACAGCCGGAGTGTCCGGTGGGGGTGGGGGGGGGGGGGGGGGGGGGGCAGGTGCACGTGCGTGCGTGCGCTCGCATTGATACACAATTGTGCGCATGAATGCAGGTTTGTAAAGTCAAATTATTATTATCATACTGGCTAAAGGTCGCTTAGTGTACTATTAAGGCGGTTTGCAAAGGAGGTCCATAACAGATATCGTGCTTTACCTCATCCAGTGAATCCAGCGAAGAGCACGCAAACAGAACCCTGGCAAGAGGGCGCAATGGGTGCGAGCGCAGAGCCCCGGATTGTGATGACCTAACTCCGAAGAGTAGCTGGCCGTGACGCAAGACCGGGCTCGGGTCAGTGACTATCAGCAAACGGGCTACACCAGAGGCCGTCCGGTGCTGAAAGACGGCCAAGCTGACCCGGCGCCAGAGCACGCCCGGATGAGTTGCAGATCATGCTGACCCAGGTCACACGGCCGACCAAACAACATCGGTCGGACGGGGCCGGGAGCTGCCAGACGTGTGGATTGTATTGGGTTGAAGTGAAGCAGGACGGACGGGATCGGAAGAAGAAGATCCGGGCAGCACCGGATCAGACTGGCCCGGTGCTGAGTGCTTTTGGAAGGAAAGGTGCTGTATCAACTGTGCGATCAGCCCAAAGTGGATAAGGATGCTAGACGGGTTAATGTCAATTCACCGGCATCCTGTTGCATAATGGAAAGGATGCATTACCACTTTTTGTCTTTCAATGCAATAAAAAGGCCAGCTGCTCAGAGGTCATTTGTGCCGCATCCTCTCCCCACCCATGGCGGCGGGGACATAACGATCGCACCTGGACCCACGACCTCCCGTCCGAAGTCCGGCGCTCTACCCCAGAGCTACTCTTCTCTGGTTCAGCACTGCTCTATCCCCAACTGAGCATGTCATCCCTGTCGGACGGACATATTCGGCAGAAATGGGCCCCGCCTGTCCGTACTTCGCGGCCAGAGCCTGATCTGGCGATGTTGCGACACAGCAGCGGCACCCGCTTCAGGAGGAGCCTCATGCTTGCACGTACAGACGTGAATTCTGCATCGGACCGCCCGTGGGCCGCGCCTCCAGGTCAGGTCAGTTTCCGGTCTCGACCTTTAACGTCCCACTGACGTCACCGGCGTGCTGGAAATCCCATTCTGCTGCCACCTAGGCGCACGCGCGTCACGTTCTGATTGAGGTTTGAACATTGGACGGCGCCGGCGCCGATTGCGGGTCGCTGGGAGACCGATGCCCGACATCAGGAGGGGAGATCGATGCCCGACATCAGGAGCGCCGTTCAGCAGGCGGCAGAAGGGCTGTCGGTGTTGTCTCGCTCAGGCCGGGAGTCCTTGAAGCGCCTGAGACGAAAGTTGTCGGTTTTGTTCCACTTCTATCCAGTGCCAAACTTATTTTGCGCTGGCGAGCTTCCGTTTGGTTTGTCACATTTGACCGCCGCAGGTGTTGGTGGCATAGTGGCGTTGGCTGTGGGTGTCGCGTGCTTGATATCGGGGTTTGAGCTGCGCATGATTGAGGGTCAGTAATCTTGAGCTTCAAAGACCTGTATACGAAAATGCATGGATCACTGATGGCTGAGGAATTTGCACGTTTTGTTCGATATGATTTATCAGTCTCTTAATTGCCAGGTCCATTTGATCTTGTGAGGTTATCAAAGCTCCGACACGCCACATCTCCCCCGCAGGGAAGATATAGCTGGTGCTCTACATGGTTGCAAAGCTGGCCGCCCACCAAGATTGCTCTCTATTTCTTAACGTGGCAGTTTTCAGGACATTTTCGACATCCATCCTATCATCACATGATACCAACGATGGCAGCCTAACGAAATAACATTTTATTGATAATATCACTGGAATGTACTCTATTTGCTTGTGTTTACACGAACCCGCGAACCATGATTAGGTTTTATACAGATAATCATGTTGTGTGTTTTCTCTCAAAGTTTTTTGCTCAGTAATTTTTTCCGTGAAAATGGTTATGCTATCACATAATATAGTTTCCATGTTGGGCGGGGTCCAGTTGGGCCGGAAGGGCATCAGGGTTCCGTGCCTATGCGCGCGGAATGGCAGACCACAGCAGTGCACTGCCCGTCTGATCTAGGGCCTTCCGTCTACTGTAACCGATCCGAACGCCAAAAACCGCATGCATTTAAACATTGTTTCAGATTACCCAGCATTCCACGTTGCCACGTCTCTCGGCAGGTTCTGCCACATTTCTCAAGTTTTTGGCCCAGCACGTGAATGGGTTGAGCAGTGGACAGTATCAGCCGTCTAGCAAAGCTGCCGTTGTCTGCTTACTGCTCCAGTGCACATCCATTTGGCATCGTTTCACAAATTCCGATTCAACTATGCTCTCCAGTGTTAGGACATGTGCTACCATGCAAAGGTAAGATTTTTATCAGGAGTCCCTACATGTTCCCCCTAATCCACCCACGCATGCATGTTGCCACGCAAAGGGCTTGCAAATGATTCTGTAAGTGTTTCAAAACATTTCTAAGATCTAAATGCGTCAGCTGGAAACACGGCATCAGTACCATCGTAGTGTTGCAGCTTGTCGCAGCGGTGAAGTTCAGCATGCATGAACTGTTAGCAGCGCATTAGCACGACACACACGATACGTTTCCTGGTCGTACCCACGGTGGCCCATTTCCCCGCGCAGCGCCGGCCTTCAGTGCAAGCACGGAATATACGCATGCCGCACACGTGGTTTAGCGTTTACCAACGCTTTCCACAAGCGTACTAAACATGAACAACTACCTGATCAGAGAAGAC